TCGTTTTACATGAGACCTTTGCGATCCAGCGTCTGCTAAAAAGAGAATGAGTGAGTCAACCTACCATAGAACATAGGATTCAATTTAGATGGTTTGTATATTCCAGGGCTGGAAGAATGAGTACAATTATTTTCATAGACATCAGTGCATTTTCCTGTAAAGTGTGCAAGAGGCTATATAATAATATAACTTGAGAGCTAACTTTTATATTACCCAGTCTAGGGCCTTCATCCATTTTTCAAATGTTATAAAATTGTTCTAATAGTATTTAAAACTAATAGTTATTTAAAATAAAATTATTAAAACTATTCTGAAGGAAAATATTATTATGGACTTATGATTAAATAGTTTTAATTGGTCTTTGAGTCCAGTGTGCCTCGGCTTTTTCCGCTGGGTTTGTGCCGACTTGTTTGCTTGTCGTCATCTTTTCTTAGCCTTCCTCGCTTGCAAGTAAGTACTGTGCGAATTTATTTTCCCGTCTATTTTTTTGCTAGAATAACAGTGATATAGAATTCTTTTTTCCAGTGATGCTTGCGTAGATTATGCCGGATGCGTTTATTTCTTTCCAGTTTCCTTTATTATGCTTAGGTATAGATCGAGTCGTTCGCTGTTGGGGACTATTCAGCCTGTTTTTTTCATTCTTATTTCTTCTGGATCATAAATTTTTATAACTTTGTTATTTGCTTACCTATTTGCGTATGCTTCTTATACTTACATTTTGGAGCCATGTGTCCATTGCTGTTTTTATACGATGACCTGTGGTTTTTATTCTATCGCTTCATATTCGATTTTATTTGGGGTTATCTGCTTAAGCATTGTATTTGTGTCTGATATTTTGGCTTTATTTTACAACTTTCTCATTTTTATGTGCTTTTAGGACATTTGATTTTAAGTTTGCTTCTATGCTTTCCTTATTATAACTCAATATTATTTGACCCAAATAAACTTATTAAAGATAAATTTGTGACCTACCTAGGTAGGAACAGATTTTCCATATTTATTATGAGAGATTTGATCCCAAATAACTTTGAAATTATCCATCTAGTTATTAGATAATATTTTTGTTAAACCTAGGCTTATAGAACGCTTAGAATATATATATATATATATCTTGAATCATCCAAAGATGGATTTTGGCGCAGTAAGGTTTGGATGAGTTATTAGAATATTTAGTCCTTTTAAAAGCTTACTATAATTACTCTATTCTAAATACATAATTTGTCTCCGAAATTGTATAATAAACAATAATCATTTATTTTATATCATAGTGATCATCTTGTCGCTATCATAAGCCAGAAGGTTTATGAAACTGTTATTGTAAATATTAGGCTCAGGACCATTCTCCTTTCTTATTTATCTTTATTTTATTTTACTATATTCACTTGCATATTCATTTTATCCTTATCTGTATTCATTTTTTTATTTAGGAATGCCACCAATAGAAAATCAGCTGTCAGACAAGCCAATTACTCCTAAGATAGGGATAATCTACCCTCCTCCAGAGGTGCGAAACATTGTTGACAAAACTGCTAGTTTTGTGGCTCGGAATGGACCGGATTTCGAATCTCGCATCCGTCAAAATGAAATAAATAATCCTAAATTCAATTTTCTAAACCCAGTCGATCCCTATCATTCCTATTATCAGCACAAGGTTCGAGATTTTACTGAAGGAAGAGGTCAAGAGCCCCAAGTGTCAAAGGGCCAGCCGAATGCAGCTAGGCTGGTTCAAGAACCGACCAAGTTAATGCCGGAGCCTTTTGTCCCCAAGAATCCTCCTTTAGAGTTTGAGTTCGTATTTGATCCACCGTCTATTAATGCACTTGATATAGACATAATTAAGCTTACGGCTCAGTTTGTAGCCAGAAATGGTCGTCAATTTTTATCGCAATTGATGAATCGGGAACAGCGTAATTATCAATTCGATTTTTTAAGGGCGCAACACAGTATGTTCAGCTACTTTACCAAACTTGTTGAGCAATATACGAAGATATTAATCCCTCCCAAGGACATTATAAAAAACCTAGAAATTGAGTTTGAAGATCCTAAGAAGGTACTCGAACAGGTCAAATATCGAGTTGAGTGGTTTAAGTTCCAGGAACGTCAACGAAAAAAGGAGGAGGAGGCCGCCGAACGAGAGCGAATAGCGTATGCTCAAATTGACTGGCATGATTTCGTCGTGGTCGAGACAGTCGATTTTCAACCTAACGAGGCCGGAAACTTCCCATTGCCGACCACTCCAGAGGAAGTTGGCGCACGCGTGATAGCTGAAGAGCGTCGAAACCTTGAAGAGTCTTCCGTTAATGAGTCTGCCCCCGAGTCTTCCAATCCTCCTCCGCCAGGATTAATGGACGATATTCCTGAACAGTTGGATGAGGATGAGGATGATGAAGCCTCCGATGCTGAGATAGACGAGACGGGAGCTAGCGACTCGGATGAGGAGCAGCACGAGGCAGACATTATGGCTGCCAAACGTTTGGAGATAAGAGCTGCGGAGATTCTGTCCCAGAAAACTGCTTCAGCTTCACATTCGGTGTCAGCGCCTCCACTTATTCCATCCTTGCCCCCTCTACCGATCCCGGCTATTTCCTCTGCTAGTCAACCTCCACCACTTCCACCTCTTCTCCCTTCGCCTACACCACAGACACGTGCCGCTGTATCAACCGGTATTTCAGGATCTGGTGAAGATGATATGGAACTTTCGGATGAAGAAAGCGAGGGTGCTGAAGATGAAGAGGACGCAGATGATGCAGGCCAACAAGAGCAAAGTGAAGATGATGACGAACAGGATTTTGGTGATCAGGATGATCGTCAGTTAAGCTCGCTTCATCCGCCTGAACAGTCCGAAATAACTACTAGCACTACATCCGCCCGATTACCCCAACGCATGGCGGCTGCACCTCATCTACCGGGTCGTGGGCAAAGCCAAAAGATGCCCGGTCTACCACAGGTTATTGTGCGTCATGACTACGACCCAAAGGCAGCCAGAAATACTGGACTTGCTCGTCAGGATGTCCTCTTGGTCTCCCCCTTCACTGGGGAAAAGATTCCCGCAGCTCAGGCTCCAAAACACATTCGCGTTGGCTTGCTTAATCCTAAATGGATCGAGCAGCGAGATCGTGAAATTCGTGAGAAGCGCGAAACCGATCAGGTATATGCATCAGGGGGCTTGATAGAGTCCAGTCTGAAACAACTTGCTGAACGAAGGACGGATATATTTGGTGTCGGCGTTGATGAGACCGCGATCGGCCGGAAGTTGGGCGAGGAGCCTAACGATTCAGGCGCTGGAAAGTCTGAGAAACTTATTTGGGATGGCCACGCGATCTCTTCAGATATGATAGCTCGCCGAGCGAGGGATGCGGTCACTCCGGCTGATCAGCTGAAATTATTAGAGCATCAGAGGCATCTGGAAGCGACTCGCGAGAAGATTGGTGTCCAAGCGCCTTCAGGCACATTACCCACAAGTTTGCCACCGATTGTCCTGCCACCCATAATGGCACCGCCGCCCCCACCACCTATGCACCCTCCGCCGCCGCCCTCTCTTCCACCTCTTCCTCCCTTGCCTCCTGACTTGATTACTCGCCAGTTGCCCCTCTTCCCTAGTATGCCACCACCACCACCGCCGGGAACTTTCATTACTCCGCCCATGCCCCCACCCCCACCACTCATTCCTCCCCCTCCTCTCCTTCCACCACCTGATGAGGCTGTACCATCTGAGGCCAAACGCCCCAGAGAAGATGTCTCGGTTTAACAAAATCATTTCTCTTCTCTTTACAAGGTTGACTAATTTATTCCTAAAAGCATTATCCTCCGAAATATTTCCATGGCGCCCTCATCATCAGTAGTCTTAAATGGAACCAATGCTTAAATTCGTTTAACTCCCTCAAATAAACCGAATCATTCGAAATATTCTATTCTGCACCTAAAAATTTGGCCTTGATTAAATTTTAGACTATTAATCTCAAGCGCCAAAATTCATTATATTTCACATTGGCTAAAACCGGATTTCATATTAATCGTACTTGTTCGGCTTAAGATACTGGTTGGTTATATTTATTTTAATTAAAGACCGAGTCTCGAAGCATCCTTTAGGTATCCACCATTGAGAATGCCTTGAAAAATGGAATCTGACTGCGCTCGTTAATCGGATTCTATCCCTCTTGACAGACTCCAGAGTTAGGGTATGCCAAAAGATGACAGGCATATCGCAGGTTGATGTGGGTCATGGCAACGGAAGAGCCAGGACTTGCCAATTCGCGGCAATAGCAAGTCAAACACGCGCACAGCTCCACTGAATTATCTAATCGGTCGCAACGATTCACTTTCGTTAAAGAAATCTTGGAGCCTTCACTCGGCCCGGATAAGCCGAGCTTACTGCCCGCTAAGGCCATTAGCCCCTCTTCGCTGTCCCAATTTGTCGCCTTTTGGGGGTTTGGATGAATTCGTCCAGCCCCGCCTGTAGCAAACCCTAAGAGCATAGGAATCTGTCAGGGTACCAAAAAGGACTCCGTTCAGGCCACAGGGATACCCCTTCAATCCCGCCGGCACGACAGACCACGCCCTATGACCGGCTTCGCGGAAAGCTGCTGGCGCTCACCAGACTCCTTTCGCAAAATCTCTCGCCCCACCCAGGCTCTTATTGGATCGAGCAAACGCGAATAGCTTCTAAGTAAAAGACATCAGTGACTCAGATGAACAAGCACGTAGGCAACTGATTAAAGTACGAAGGACGGGATTAAGTGTAACGACAGGAGCGGAGGAGTTTAGGTATCTTCAAAACTAAAGAATAGCGGACCCGGGTGCAACTCACATTTATCACGCAGGAACCTATCTTAAGAGGTCCGCAC